GTTACTATTCTCTATACTTAATTAACTCGATAACTCTTCCGTCTTCGACTTGACTTTCTGACGAGGAAACGGCGTGTCTCTTGACCGTGCTTGTAATTACGGGATGAAAAGTCTTACAGACGAAAGATTCAAATTGTTATAAATTTAGATATTATGTTAATTGACAGAATATTGCATTAATAAATAATTGTTATAATTAGATATACATATATTGCACGACAATTGCCATAATCGAAATCGATGACACTCTCTCTTCATGAATCCGCACGGTACGCACGTGCGGTTCCGTGATACAGGCACGTTTCATCGTCGTCGTCGTCGTCGTCGAAATCCGTGTCACACGATATCGCGCATTATCATAGATATTGGCCGAGGGCTTTGGCTTCGGAGCTTCGGTTCGGTGCGTTAACGGGCCTCATAAATAAAAAATATCGTCTCGCGGCATGAAATCCGCCGTCGACGAAACGACGCGACGTCTCTCCGCCGGGAGTCGGGAGTATCCTGCCGTGCCGCCGCAGCCGCCGCTCTCTCTTCGGTTGTGAAGTCTCGTCGTTTCTCATTCTTCCCGTCCTTTCGAAATACACGGATCCACTTTGCGCTCGATACGCCGTAGTGCCACTTATACGTTCTCCATATCGTCGCCCGTCTCGGGACACCGCTGTAACGACGAGGAAACAGTTTCTTTCACATCGTGGGTAACTTCTATGGAACCTTTCGAGCTGCATAAGACATATGCGATGAATTCGGAATCGGAGAGTCTGAAGTCTCTTCCTTCAACGCGCGGAGCATTTGCGTACATTACTTTCGGGGAAGATGTAAGAATGGAATTATGCAGAATATCGAATTAATACCTTGAAAAAATGGACCAAATTCTTCTTTTTCGTTCTAAAGTTTAGTGTTCTTTGAACAAAAAATTCAAGAAATAGATAATTCAATGTGTATTCAGAGATCTAATATTTTATAAAGAAATAAAAAATTGAAATTTAATACCATGTCCGTCTTAATGCATGCATAAAAGAGGTTTATTCCGTATATCATTACGTCAGTTATTAAAATGTACTGATATATTAAAGCGATATATACTAATGCCACAGAATGGATCTCTTCCAATGTTAGAAAATTTCCATATTGGAAAACCGTAGGAGATAAATCACGCCTTCCAGCACATCGCGCTCGAGAATCCTTCCGATTCTCTCTTATTCGTCGTTGGCTTCCGAAGTCGATCTTTGTCCGGATCTTTGCGAAATCGTAGACTTTAAGAACGACAGTACCATAAACGAGATAAAATAGACTGCCTTCCCAGCTGCTGGGAATAATTTTGTTACAAACTTTCGGAAGGAGAGAATTTCTCGGTTTTATATCCGAAAAGCTTATTATACGTTTCTACGATTCGGATCGGATAATAATCAACCAAGGATGAAAAAAATTGAATCAAGATTTCCTAACCCTATCCCTCTCCCTTTTCTCCTTCCTCTCTCCCGAAGGCGATGATATCCGGAGCGTATATCGCTACCTTCGGTGAACTTTCGTAATTCGATTCTGCGGGCAGTGGAAACTTCGTCGTGAATCATTTCGCAGGTCTGCTTTTGCGTGTGAGTGATACTAGCCGAGTTTAATGGAAACATGAAACCGTTGCTCCACATCCGGCAAAAAATATTCTATATATTCTAATGGAATATAACATTATGGGTATCATATTATGCTTGTAGCTAAACGTGGACGCGCACGTAATTGAGGATTTTTGCTATATCATATGCATGAGAGACGGTGTAGTAATTGCGAGGCAATTAATTGGCCATTTAATAATTTAGTTAATTATACATATATCGCGCTAGTAATCAATTACTTATTTAATTAATGATATACTTTATCTCATCTGCTACGTTCAATAGGAAGATTGCGAACCGCATTGTTCCTCTCGCAATTATATAATACGCCATTTGGGGTTAATAGCATCCTTGATAGAGTCATAATTTATCGTGTAAAATATTTTAATCGTAGTACAGATGTAATTTATGTTAATTTATACAATAAATTTCAGAGTAATTTAATGCATAATATCGAAATGTAAATATCATAGGAATTTAATTAAGAAGAAACTATATAGATTTAGTATACATGTATCTTTGATTTTTCAATAAGGATAATCCTACTCATTTTGATATGCAGGATGATATGCATAAAATATTATTAATTATTTTCTGACAAGCTATGAAGAATGGAAGGTCGGAACGTCAATTTTTTTTCGCAATCCGATTCGCTTCATAAGCAGTAATAAAACAGTAGAAAAAATATTCGTCTTCCTTAATAATCTTAGAGAAAAGGGGATCCTGCAGTGACTGGCGAACTTCCTCGATGTCGATAATGTCAACCTTTCTAATTTTGTTTTCCCTATATCTGTCTTTGTCTAACGAAATGACATCTGTCCTTTTTTTGATTGCTCACCATCTTACGCAAGATCCGGCAACTACTGTTGCTGCTCTTCTTGTCATCCTGCATCCGTATTTGCATTACTAAAATAATTATTAGATGGATCTTTTTTTGTACGCATTGAATCTTATTATACTTCTACTTACACGATATTATTTCTACATGTTTTCCCAAGGGTGGATGATAAACATTATGTACGTATAAACAGTAGAATTTTTGTTTTAAGCAAATATTGTCGTCAGGTGACAGCTGTGTATGTGCCCCAATAAGTAATATTTTTAATTTTTTGGTGCTTTTGATATAAAATCGCGTTTTCCACCCTAGATTTTTGTGCGGACTTTAATTCTAGACCAAAAACTTGCAATTCTGTAAAGCCAATTAAAAGATCCATCGATTAACGATAATGTCGGTAAATCATACGGCTGCAGGATCCCC